TTTTTTTTTCCCTTAAAAATTTTTTTAAAGAGTCCTTCCTATTTCTGTTTGTTTGGGATTTTCCTCATATACAGGGGTCTCAGAAATTCTCTGGGAAGGCAGTGTGCACAACTGACTGACGGGGTCCTCCCATAAGGAATTGTCATCACGCAAATGATAATTAGCCTTGGTAGCCACAATTTTATTTAGAATACAAAGCGTAGAACTACGTACTGGAAATGGGGGCTTTCCCCTAGCTTTGATGATTTTTTGAAAATCCTGCTTGGAGGTGATCTTACATAAGGTCATCTTACATAACTCAGAGTAATTTTTCAGATGTATGAAATTTTACAAACTTTAAGCAAAGCGCCTAAAGTAGACCCAGTGCTGCGGCTTTTCTTAACATCACTGAAGTTGAGTATCATCTCCCTTTCCCCCCAGAACCTAATCCAGGCGAACTCAGAAGGCCTCGCAGGTTTGCTGGTTTGGGTAATCTCTGGATATTTACTGGGAAATAGGAGGGATTGATGAAAGGGGAGATGAATGGGTGAATATGTAATGAATCTAATATAGTTCAACGTTAATAATAGCATCTAGGTGGTGGGTACACGGGTGTTCACTGTAAAATTCTACTTTTCTGTATGTTTGAAAGCTTTTCAAACTACAATAGGGGAAGAGTCTGTGTCACATCGATTTGGTCAAATCTCTGCTGCGTGTTAGCTGCGTGACCGGGACAAAATGCCCAATACTCAAGTTTTCTCGTCTGATATGGGTAATTACGAATCTCGCGGGGTTGATAAGAAAAAGAGCTTTTTCTCGCTCTATTAGAGGCCCTCAAATCAAGGGCGGCTCCGATTGTAGTGGGAAAGCCAGTAAGCAGATCCGAGTCGAGGTCCTCTGGTGGAGATGTCTTTAACCTGGCAGAAGAGCATCGGCGCCCCCAACCCCGCCCCACCCCCGGTGTCATCGCGTCCAGGGGTCCTCAGGCTGTGTGACTCCTCCGGGAATCCATTAATGCATGACTCAGACCCTGAGAATGCCCTTCAGGAAATCTCAAAAACATTCAGAAAGCCACTGTATGCCCATTTTTTTACGCTCTTCTTCCGGAGTTCCTCCCCCTTTCCCCATGCCTGCTGGTTCCCTAGGGCCCTTTGGAGAAGACGTTTGCGCCCAGAAATGACAACCGTAATCTCTGACTCTACGACATCCCACCCTAGGCTATTTATCTCGTCTTTTGCCAGTTGCATTTTAGGAAAAGCGAGCTTTACTATCAAACCCCGAGGAAACTGTACAATTTGAGGATTTAGCGAGGAGAAGCGGCGCGAGCGTGCGATGCGGCCTTGGCAACTAAAGACAGCCAGCTCGACCGCCCAGGGCCAGGCGCTCTCAACGTTTTTCCCACACTGGCAGAAACGCCGCCCTGAAGCGACATTCGGAGGAGGAGGAGGCGGGGCCTCGGGGACAGCCCCGCCCCTGCCCTTTGTGACGTAAGACAATGCCTGCCACGCGTCGGAATTCGGCCCTGGGAACTGCCACGGGCACGAGTGACCATCTGGAGAAAGCGCAGTGGTCTGCTGGGGCACACGCCAGAAACCATGCATTTCTTTTTCCGATTGTTCGTTTTATTTTACTTGTGGGGCCTTTTTACTGCTCAGGGACAAAAGAAAGAGGAGAGCACAGAGGAAGTGAAAATAGAAGTTTTGCATCGTCCAGAAAACTGCTCTAAGACAAGCAAGAAGGGAGACTTACTAAATGCACATTACGATGGCTACTTGGCTAAAGACGGATCGAAATTCTACTGCAGGTAGGAAGTGCGGCGAACTGCCCTCGTGTACAGTTGATGCACAAAATCTTGCCTCCCGTCACCCAGCAGAATTGGTTGGTTACTTTGTTGTTCTGGGTTTTTAAGTTTTTTGTGTGTTTTACCAGGAAGAGTTGAGCCTTTTATTCATAGAAAAAAATCAGATTATATGGCGGTAGTTATCTAATAAACTGAATATTCCCATTTTAAATTTTTGAAAATGTTGGCAAAGAAATGATCAAAAATACACTACATCCACACGCGCTCTCTCCACCACCACCATCCCTGAGACCTCTGGAATTAAATCAAGGTTCTGCCTGTAAGGATGTGCAAATTTTTCCCTGCCGGGAGTCTTTACAGAGGATTACATAGGATAGTTAAAGAGAGTTTATTCTGGCTTTTAGAAGCATTATTTTTACATACCAGGGGCCACTTCCTAAACTGAATCAAGAAGCCACTACAAATTAGCCTTCTGTGGTAATGCATGCCTACTTGGGAGTCTGGGGCAGAAGGATGTGTGAGCCTCGGAGGTCAAGGCTGTGGTGGATCATGATCATGCCACTGAACTCTAGCCTGGGCAACAGAATGAGACCCTGACTCAAAAAAGATTTTTTTAAAATAAAAATAAAAGAAGCCACTACAACAGTGATTTCCCTGCTGACTTCTGCTGGGCCCTGGTTCTCCTACCTGCTCCCTCATCCCACTGCCTGCCTCTTCTGTTAGATGGTTTATTACCCAGAGGGAGAATGTCTTTTCTTCTGCTGCTATAAGGATTAGGGTTGGAGAAAGTTCATTCTTTCCATTTAAGTAAAATACAGAAATTTAATAAGAAAATATGCGATTTTAGCCGGGCTCGGTGGCTCAACCTGTAATCCCAACGCTTTGGGAGGCTGAGGTGAGTGGATTACCTGAGCCCGCGGGTTTGAGACCTGCCCGGGCCAGTTGACGAGACCTCATCTCTACAATAAATCAAAAAATTAGTTGGGTGTGGTAGCGTGCGCCTGTAGCTCCAGCTACTTGGAAGGCTGAGGCGGAAGGATTGCCAGAGCCCAGCAAGTCGAGCCTGCGGTGGCCGGGAGCGTGCTGTTGCACTACAGTCGGGGTGACGGAGTGAGACTCCAACTCAAAAAAAAAAGAAGAAAATATGCTATTTTAAATTACCATTAAAATTATTTTTAAGGCTAAATCTGCCCCATAACTTTTTAGAACAAACCCAGAGAAGTTAAATGAGTTATTTGCACAGGTCTTGCAGCTGAGTTAGAGACTGGAGACCCATTAAAAAGTTAACTATTGAAGAATTTTTGTAAAGATTACAATAAAAAAATAAGATGACTCCTAATAACTAGCTCTGAGTACATCATGTGTCTTTCTGACAATTATAGGAAACTTTGAGCCAAACACCCCAACATGGGGTTTGAAAGAGTGCTGATATGGGAAAAGAGATGGTTAAAAAGAGCTCCGACTTTTATTTATTTACTTTTAATTTTTTTTATTTTAAAGATGTGTACAACTCAGGGTTAGGGTCACAAATGTTCATTATGTAGGTACCCTTGTTGATGAAGTGTGCCCTCCCCTCCCTTGGAGAGGGCTCCAATTTTAAATGCTCAGCTGTATTTTAAAGTTTCATTTCTTGAAATTAGCTTACCTAAGTATTATTTTTTATTATAGCCGGACACAAAATGAAGGGCACCCCAAATGGTTTGTTCTTGGTGTTGGGCAAGTCATAAAAGGTCTAGACATTGCAATGATGGATATGTGCCCTGGAGAAAAACGAAAAGTGATTATACCCCCTTCGTTTGCATATGGGAAGGAAGGCTATGGTAAGGTGTTTAATTTTAATTTCTCCCTTTAGTTATATTTTAAAAAAAAATAAGCTTCTGGGTGTACATTTCTAAAGGAATTGAAACAGAATCTTAAAGAAATATTTACACACTCATGTTCACAGCAGCATGATCCATAATAGCCAAAAGATGGAAGGAACTCAAGTGTCCATAGACGGAAGAATAGATATACAAAATGTGTATATATGCACAATGGAATGTTATTCAGCCTTACAAAGGATGGAAATTCTGAAACATGCTTTAACATGGATGAAACTTGAGAACACTATGTCAAGTGGGATAAGCCAGTCACAAAAAGATAAATACTGTATGAATCCCTTTATATGAGGTCTCTAGAGTAGTCAAATTAATGGAGACAGAAAGTAGAAAGTTGTTTGCCAGGTGCTGAGTAAGGGAAAATGAGGGGGTGTTGACTAAAGAAGAGTTTCCATTTTGCAAGATGAGAAGAGTTCTGGAGATTGTTGTACAACAGTGTGAGTGTACTATACACTACAGAAGAATACATACACTTGAAAATGGTTATGATTGCAAATTTTATGTTATGTGTATTTTACTACAATTAAAAATAAAAACAGGCCAGGCATGGTGGCTCACATCTGTAACCCCAGCATTTTGGGAGGCCAAAGATGGGAGGATTGCTTGAGCCCAGGAGTTCGAGACCAGCCTAGGCAACATAGCAAGACCTCGTCTCTACAAACATCAAAAAATTAGTAAGGCATGTAGTCCCAGCTACTCAGGAGGCTGAGGCAAAAGGATCACCTGAGCCCACAAGTTCAAGGCTACAGTGAGCCGTAATCATGCCTCTACACTCTAATGGCACAGAGTGAGTCTCTGACTCAAAAATGAAAATAAGAATAGCACTCAAAAAATAACTGAAAACAAAAAAATCATAGAGGAAATAATTACAGAACTATATGGCCCAATTAAGTTTAGCTATGTCTTGTTCAGTCCAGCCTTTTTGCTTATAAAGAAAATAAGACATGGTTGAAATACAGTTCTCTGGCCAGAGTTCTCTCTCCTACACAGTGGCAATACTCGTAATGATTGTGTATATTCTGTAGGCTCAACCCTAGGCATTTTTGGTTAGATACATGTTATATTATCATTACATGAGTTTTTATAACAGATCTTTGGTAAGCAGTACCAAAGTTAAATTCATAAAACTCAGGAAACTGGAACATATGAATTTAGAGCACAAGGACACCACTAGAACATTGTAAAAGGAACATCTGCGATATAATAAACTGTCAGTCACTATTACCTCTATATAGGGCATTTCTTGAAATATGCAAGAAATGAACTTATACTTTAATATCTTAGCTATTTTTAAAATCCTAGAGCAAGAAGATCTGAAAATCCAGGTGAAGCAAATAAATGGGAAAACTGTTTGCAATCCATATAAAAGACTTATTAACTAGTTGTAAAAATGACCTATTCCCAGAAATGGGCCAAATTCATGAGTAAGTAGCCCACTAACACAAAAAATACAAATTGGTGTTAATTCTGTGAGAACGCTTAATTTTATTTGCAATTAAAAAAGGAAAATTAAAAATAAGACACCATTTTTCACTCACCAGATTAGCAAAGATTAAAGAGTTGACAAAGGGATGGAAAAACACGCAGTCTCCTGCATTATTGCTGGGAATGTAAATTCTACCTAACAATTTCTATCAATAGTGAAAATGTGCTTATCTTCTGACCAACAAGTTCCATTTCCAGGAATATGCACAAAGGTACAAAAGTATTTGTAAAAGAACACTCATTGGAGCCTTTTTTATTTTCTTTTTGGGTTTTTGTTTGTTTGTTTTTTAGTGGTAGCAAAAGACTAGAAACTAACCTGAGTATCCAGCAATAGAAAATTTGTTAAGTAAATTAAGATATATGTATATAGTGGATTACTGTGCAGCCAATGAAAAGAATGAAGTAGAGCCATGTGTATTAATATGGTTACGCTAAAGTGGGATAGAATATATTCCTGCAGTGGATATGTGAGCATCAGTGCCAGGTTTTGTCCTAGGGTACTTGGGCATAAAGCAATGAACAATGTAGACACTACTCCCAATCCTCCATAAGCTTGCATTTTAGAGAGTGAATTTCACATATACATGTGTCTACCTAGACTATATCTGGAAGGATACACAGTCATCTGGTGTTATTAAATATTCCTGGGAAGGAAGCCTGAGGGTCAAGGGAGAGAGATTTCTTCTCACTCTAATATTTTGTACTGTTTGAAATTTGTATCGTGTACATTTATTTTTCCAAAATTATATATTTTTTAAAATGAAGTATAGCAGACTGGAAAGGGAAATTTTTAATGGTGGGGGAAGAGAATAGGCAACCTGACAGAGACGGGTTCCACCTTGCATCCTCAGGTTCTTGCTCTGTGTTGCTGTGTGAAAGTTATACAGAAAGAATCTTTGCCTCTATTTAGAGCTTCTACTAATTTTACCTGTTTGAAATCTTCAGTATAAAATTAAAGATTAATTTCCTACAATGAGAGAAATTTGTATTACTCTCAAATATTTTGTGGAAATTGCATATCTTCTTTGAGATTGTGGGTTTAGCACTGAGTACTTCCCTGCGAGAGCTGCCCCATATCGGAATGGAGGAAGGTCAGTGCTGTAAGTCAGGCCCAATCAGACTTAAAACTCCCAGAAAGACAGTTCCAGATAACTACAGCTCTATTTTCAAAGCTTTTTTGCTGATCATTCGGTACCATCAAAATAGCTCCCATGGTATCATAATTTGTATAACCCGTTTTTATTTGTAGAAGAACCCAGGAGAAAGAGAGAGAAAATTAAAGATAAATTAATTCAAATGAATTATTTTTCCTTAAAATGTTGTCATAATTTGCGGCCACTTCTAGGAAAAATGATATAGGCGAAGTTTGCCTTTCAGCCTGTTTTATTCTCATTTTCAAAGTTTTCCTTTCTCTCTTGTGTTGTCTCATCCAATGCCTCCACATTCTGCCTCAGTCAGAACACCCACTCCCCTATCTGCCTAGAGTACCCACATCCCTTATCAATAGGTCCCCATCCTTGGTCCGTTTTACCGAAAGACAAAGGAGACTTTGCATAAACTAATATATGCTTACATGTGAATGACTACCCAGGCTGCCTAAGCTATTAATAAATCAGACTCTTGCTACAGAGATGTAGAAGTTTGACTTTTAAAAGTCCATATTCAATTTGGGTTGTCTCCAATAAAGATAAAAAATAATGAATCTCACCAACACCTTCATGTAACACATAAGGAAACTGAGGCCCATAAAAGTATGTTCATTGGAACATAGTTAACTGCTGCTAGCCTTACCCTGCATTACAGTATATTTGATTAGATTATTTTAAAGGTTGCAGTGTAGATTATAAGTAGCTATTTAACAAACAACCTTTTGATTAAAGTAAGTTGTTATTAAGACCTAACAGTAGCTATTACTTTATTTTAGGTAGTACTTGAAGAAGTTTTTCCTCTGCGATATATCCTTGCCTGTGTCACAGAGTACCTCTGCATGTCTTGAAATGCATGTGACTGTTTAGTGCTTTAATTAACAATGTATGTGGTATGTATAGATTCTTTACATTAACTCCTACCTCTTTTATCTTCTTCTCTACATATAAGCAATTCTACAGAAAATTCTTTTTTTATACTTTAATTTTTTGTAAGAAAAATGATGTTTTCTTTGTTTACAGTAAAATTGTTCAGAAACTTCATTTGTACTGGTGATATTTTTTTCTTAAGAAATTAGAATTTGTGTTTTGAATGTGTCTTTATTGTCAGGAGAAGTTTTTTTCTGTCATAAGGAGATTATAACTGGACAGAATAGGAATGGATTTTGTAAAAATGATGATTAAGTCCAACTCTAGCTCTCTCACTCTAAGGTCAGGTAATAAGTGATACATATTGTCTGACCTAAGGATTTGCACAGTAGTCATATAATACATGGGTAGATTTTTCCATACCCTCACTTTGAAAATTACTGACCTGGTTCACCTTTTGTCTGTAACTTGCACACTCTTTTCTCTTTGGATTACATAAAGATTTTAGCAAGAATCCTCCCCTTCTTTATTAAAGAAATTGCTGTTTCCTTCAAAGAACAAACTTAGCTGTTTTTAAAATAAATGATATGTGTCAATTATTCAGCAAATATTGGAGTCCCTATAATAATAGGTCAGGCACTGTGTGAGATCTTGGCATATACTGTGGTACAAGCTACCCACTGCCTCTTAGCAAGTCATTTTTGCAGGTTATTTTAATGAAATGCTTAGCTGAAATATCCCATATCATATAAAATCATCTGCAACATCAGCTAACAGGTTAACTTAATTAAAAAAGAACTATTCAACTTAATGGTTAAAAATTGGTACTGTGATTAGAAATTTACTTGTAAAATTGTTACAGAATTTTTCTGTCATGGCACTTATTTTCTAATGTCTATAAAACTTGAAAGACAAATACATTGATGTATTATGTGTATTTATGTTTTCTTTGTGCTTCCAAGTAAGCACACAGAGTCATTTTCTGAGAGATTAAATATCTATACTTAGAAATGTTTCTGCCCATGTCTTTCTTCTCTGCACCACCTCTCTTCTGTTTGATGACAGGAATGTACTGTCATCCCTCAGTATTGTGGATATTTGGTTCCAGGACCCCCTTGGAATATCAAAATCCACAGAAATTCAAGTCCCTTATATAAAATGGCATATCTGTATATAACCTATACCCATCCTCCTGTATACTAACCTCTAGATTACTTATGATACCTAATACAATGTAAGTGCTATATAAATAGTTGTTATGCTGTATTGTTTAGGGAATAATGACAAGAAAAAATAGTCTGTACATGTCAGCGTAGACAAAACCATCCTTTAAAAATATATATATTTGAGATAAGATTGGGCAAATTCATAGATTTAGAACCTGTGGATATGAAGGGCCATATCCATGTATTTTTTTTAAATGTATGTATTTATAGAAATTACATTATTTTTAAAAATTTAATCAGGAAATAGAGGCCCTGTAAATATTCCTAAAAATAAGTGTTTATTTAAAAAAGAAAAAAACCCCAAAGTATTGAAAAGACAAAGCATTCTTCTAAAAGATAATAAAAAATAAAAATTATTTAGAAAGTAGATCTTATAAATATGAAATAATACAATCATAATACTATTATAACTATGTGTAAATATTTGAAATATTCTTCATGTAAATCAAATGGTTAACATTTATACCCTTAGCAGAAGGCAAGATTCCACCTGATGCAATATTGATATTTGAGATTGAACTTTATGCTGTGACCAAAGGACCACGGAGCATTGAAACATTTAAACAGATAGACACGGACAATGACAGGCAACTCTCTAAAACCGAGGTAATTTAAACTAATTTCATGTGTACAGTCTAATTTTTCATCATAATCAAACACATCTTGTTACAACTATTATTAAATACATCTGTGTTGCAACTATTTTTTTTTTAAGTTCTTGCTAGCATGGGCTCTGATCACTGCTTTTATAGAGCTGGTTACTAAAAAATCTAAGCTTTAAGAAGAAAATATGCTTTTCCAGTGTGAAACTTACGAGTCATCCTGTTCAGTTGCCTTTCTCTGTGCAAGAGAGTCATTAAAATCTCAAACTACTCATCTCTTCAGGGCTCTTCTAGTTTCTAGACTACACGAACAGATCTCTTTCAAACTGTAAGAATTTATAGTAGGGTAAATAATTCCCACCTCATAACATTGCGAGGATTACATAATGTTATGAAAATTGCTAACAGGCCATTTGAGTTGGGTGAGCTAGAAAGTTGGTAATCAGGAACCACTTCAGGGACCTGTCTTCTGTATCTCAGTCTTGTATATGAATTGAGGGATTAATCTAATAATAACAATATAATATAATAGTAATAATAATAGTAATCTAATAATAATAATAATAGACAACTTTTTTTCACACTTTCTCTGTACCAGATTCTATTATAAGCATGTAAGTATGTGACTTAACTAATCTTCATGACAATTTATGAGGTAGACACTATTACCATCATCTCCACTTTATAGATGGGGACAGTGATGCTCAGACTGGTTAAGTTAGCCAAAAATCACACAACTATATGTGGCAAAACTAAGATTGCAACCTGGGCAACCTGTCTTCACTACTGTGTTCTTAACTGTGGGCCCTCACTGCCTTGGGCTCTTACTGCCTCTTTCAGGAAATTTCCATCATGAATGTTTCAAGGCTAATGCTTGTTTACACTGAAGCAAGTGCCTTGCTTAGACTCACTGATTACACTTTTTTTTTTTTGAGGCAGCATTTCACTCTGTCACTCAGGCTGGAATGCAGTGGCAGGATCAGGGCTCACAGCAACCTCGAACTCCTGGTCTCACGCGATCCTCCTGTCTCCTCTACCTCCTGAGACTACCAGAGTTGGGACTACCATGCCTGGCTAATTTTTCTATTTTTGTAGAGACGAAGTCTTGTTTTCTTGCATAAGCTGATCTCAAACTCCTAGCCTCAAGGTATCCTCCTTTCTCAGCCTCCCAAAGTGCTGGGATTGCAGGTATGAGCCAGTGCACTCAAACTACTGACTATACGCTTGCTTAAAATGAGTAATCCCCTCTTGTTTGGAGGCATTTCAAATGCATAACTCTACCACCTAAGTAAGTAGTAAAAGGCAACTGGGTTGATTTCAAGTGATAAAAGTTTCTCTGTTTTGTTTTCCTCACCCTTTCCAATCCTTTCACTCGATTGAACTTCCTCCAGGGTATTAGTAAGGGCTTTTTCCTGAAGCAAACTTGATTGACCAACAATAGAAAAAGGAGAAGGAAACATCACCTGTTCCTTAAGAAGAACAGTTAGAGGGGTGGCAAACAGTATCCAGTGTGTACTTCTCTGTGGACTCCTTATCACCCTTTTTAGAATGAATTTTAGCTGCAGATGAATTCACTTAGTACCCAAGAGCTCAGCTGTGCACACAGACCATTCATTATCACAGGCACACCAAGAAGTGTGTTTTGCGGTATGAATGCTCCTCAGGAGACCATTGAGGGATCCTCAATACTTTTCTAGAAAGTAAAAGTAGAAAAAATGCAAAAAATAGTGACCAGCTTAGCTACAGTTTCTCCAGATGTCTATCTGGCATTGGCTGCTTTATCACCAGGTGGATGAGTGATTTTCACACACTTGAATAACAATAGCTATCTTTTACTGATGCCCATAATCATTTCTCTAATCCTCACATCAATCCTACAACCATAGATAGTTGCTTCCTTCCTTTTATAGATAACAAAGCTGAGGTTCAGAGAAGTTCAATAATTTGTTCAATAACACACAGCAAATCCATGGCAAAGCCTGGATTTAAAACATGACCTAAAAAACTTTTTCTTCATCATCACAAATATTTAGTAAACTATTCAGTATAAATTAGGCAGGCGTGGGGGGAAATACAGTATTTTATTAAATTACAAATAGTGCGGAACTCACAAAATTAAGGTCAAGTTCTTACTCACTGCTTTTTTGTACTCCTGTACTACAATCTACTAAAAAAGGAGTTGATTTTGAGCATCAGCAGTAATAGTTATTTACTTACTTAGAAACTGAGGAATATTTGAGGCTATTTAAAATTCTTGCCAGGTGCAGTGGCTCACTCCTGTAATCCCATAACATTGGGAGGCAGAGGTGAGAGGATTATCTGAGCCCAGGTTTCCAGACCAGCATGGGCAACTTGGCGAGACCTCAACTCTACAATAAATCAAAAAATTAGCCGGGCTGGTGGCACGTGCCTGTAGTTCCAGCTAGTTGGAAGGCTGAGGTGGAAGGATCTCCTAACTCCAGCAGGTCGAGGCTGCGGTATCCCTGAGCATGCCACTGCACTCCAGCCTGTGTGATAAAGTGAGACTGCAACTCAAAAAAAAAGAAAAGAAAATTATCTATACCTATATAGGATTGTTAAGTCTCAGCTGGATGGAAAAATTGCATCTTCCTCATATAGGATCAAAGTGCTATTTAAGAACCACTGATTGTTCTGAAATAAAGTCTACTTGTGATGGTTTGAGCTTGAACCCTTTGTTGCTAAAAACTTCTCATGGTTCTGTTGCGGGAAAACAGAGAGACCGTGACACCAAGGCCATCTTAGGAAGTAATGGTTTATTAGCGCCTATGTGACTCTGCGGGCTAATGCTCCAAGGCTGAGCAACCTGGAGAAAGAGGAGAGGGGTTTTATTTGTTAGTTTAGGTAAGGGAGGGGGTCGGGTTGTATGGCTATACATTGTTCTTTGGAATTTGCAAGGTGGTATTTAGCAAAACCAGATTTTCAAAGAACAAATTGTCTCCAGGGTATACATGACAAGCAGGGGCTGTAAACTGATAACTTCACAAAGAGAGGATGTGGGGGTAAGGTTGTGAATGGATTACTATCTTGCATTTTCAGGAAAATGACCTTTGGCTGTTTGGTTTTCTCAAGCCCCATGTCTCCAGGTCTGGAGCTTGCCAGTTGACAGCTGGGCTCGGTGGCTCAGCCTGTAATCCCGCGCTTTGGGAGGCTGAGGTGAATGGATTGCCTGAGCCCGCGGGTTTGAGACCTGCCTAGGCAACTTGGCGAGACCTCATCTCTACAATAAATAAAAAATTAGCCGGGTATAGTAGCGTGTGCCTGTAGGTCCAGCTACTTGGAAGGCTGAGGCGGAAGGATCGCCAGAGCCCAGCAGGTCGAGGCTGCGGTGGCTGGGAGTGGCCACTGCACTCCAGTCTGGGTGACAGAGTGAGACTCTAACTCAAAAAAAAAAAAAAAAAGGAATGATTTTAACTGTTTTCAGCCCCTCTCTGCCACATTCCCCCTTTGATGCTCAACTCTTCATGGGTTAAGAGCATCATCTTCAATTTGGTGCATTAACATTATGTGGGCTGCAGTTTTTCTTCGACAACTGTTTTCACAAACCTAGAGATGGAGTTATAATTATTGGTGCTATGCAAGGGAGGATAAGACAGGATCTCAACAATAGGATTACAAATCCAATAATGTACTTAAATTCTTTCAGACCCGAGAACACTCTTTAAACCAATTGTTAATTTTTATGCCATGCCATTTTTGTACTGGGACATTGGTCAAGCTTTCTAAGAAAGAACAGAAATGCTAGTGAGACCTTTTTCCAACATGTCCAATTTGTAGGGGTCAACTGCCAATTTTATAGCAAATAAGGTCAGTCTTATAGCAAATATAACAACAAACAGTATAGCAACTGGCAAATACAAAGGCTGATAAAGCAAAACAATGGCTTATCAGTAAGGTCCATTGAGTCCTTAAGCTTCTGCCCTGCATAGATCAGCCAGCAACCAGTGGGTGACTCAAAGGAAGGCCAGTGGATCCTCAAACTTCAGCCGTGTGTAGACTAGCCAGCCCCGGAGTGGCTAGAGGGTTTGGGGAATCTGGGGTTTTCTGTCAGCCTTAATGACTTTCTGGGGGGTCAGCTTAAGGGGAGCCAACATATTTGTGGTGCACCTCCAGTCTTGGGGGGCAGACTTAACTTTGTTGTAATTATTTCCGCTATTTTGACTACAGTTGGGGTAGATAAAAGGATAGTAAATGGTCCCCTCCAGAGGGGTTTTAGAGGTTGTACATTCCATTCTTTTCCCATACCATATTACCTGGTTTAAAAGAATGGACACTGGTAGTTAAACTAATTGGTAGCCATTCTCTGACTTGATAATGAACAGCATTTAAGGCTGGACCTAAGGCTTGCATTTGTTGTTTTAGGGTTAGATTTCCTAACTCCTTTAAGTATGCCCTTAACAGGAGGAGGTTGCTGCCCATAAAGGATTTCAAAAAGTGAGAAACCTGTTTGTTTTGTGGGGCTAGACCTTACCCTTAGAAGGACTATTGGCAGAAACTGGACCCAGCCTAAATGAGTTTCTTGGCCCGTTGCTGAGCTTTTTTTTTTTTTTTTTTTTAATAACAGAGACTCCTGTTCACCCCCCTTTGTGGCTTTATAGAAGGGTTTTGTCATAATAGAGAAGTTAGGTATCCAACTTTTACAGTCCCCACAGCCCCCCTCCCCCAAACTCTTGTATTTGATGCCAGATAGTTGGGACTAGTATTAAATGTACTGTCTGTTCTCTTAATGGGCCATTGCTGTAAAATAATTTTTGTTAGGTCATTACTATTGCTGTCTGACCTTCCATTTTGAACTTTTGAATGTATAGATCTAAATGCTTCCAGTCAGTCCCCTGGAGGGGTGAGACCTGTCAGGGAAGCCCAGAGGCTCCTGAGACTAAAAGTTGCCCACAAATTCAACAATTTGGGTAATCGAAATGTACTAGTATAGGAATAGGCCCACTTTACATACACACTTGGTCCTTAAATAACAGCTTTAAGTCCTGT